ACGCCCTGTTGTTTTAGTTACGGATACGTCCAGCAAAAGATCCAAATTTAATAAAATCTTATTTATTATCAGACAAAAAAGCTATTCCTAATATATATTTTGATTTATTGCAGATATCATTATACAGGTTTGGGAAATAAGTTTCAGAATACGTGTTCTAAGTTATTTGTTCTACAACGATTCGTTATTCAGTTTCTTCAACGGTAAACTTGAAAACCATAGGCAACTTGTTTTTTTTTATCGTGTCCCTTGCGCGTGTAACACATGTGTACAAATATAATGTATTTGTTACCTATAGAATTACTTGTTATTCTGGCTGTTTTCGTCGATGCAGAGTAAATAACAATACTGTATTTTGTATCAATCTAACGTAAGGCATTTGTTTTGCGATGATCTGTTTTTCTTTTGCATGTTCACCATCGAGCCAAAATCGTAACGACTCCAAATTATTGACGTGTTCTTTTTTTATATACCACTAGGTGTTTTTTACGATTCAAATGCCATAACTTATCCCTTATAATAATTTTCAAAACATTTAACCACCGCTGCATATAGCTTTGTACTACATTTAATACGAATTCAGATAGCTGTGGCTATAATAATAAGAAAAACAATATAATAGTTACCATATTTAATCAAATTCTTAAACGGGCACTGTCATACAATAAAAAGGAACTAATACTAAATAACTGCCCTAGTTTTGCATGTAGTGATAATATAATCTGAACATTTTAATGAAATTAAAAAAACAATATTATAAGACATACAACGTCGGGTATTTCCTTCAGAATTCAAATACTTTTATATTAAAGTAAATGAAAATAGAAAAAAATTAATTTTGAACAGTTAAACGAAGCAAATAAATATATACAAAACGTACTAATTCAAACTTTAAAAAAAAAAAAATAATAATAAACAAGTTTATCAATCTAAATAAACTTACTTAACTTAACGTTTCAACTTTCAAACCTTTAAACGCCCTCCCCCCCAAAGTACCAACTAAATGAAATTTGTGAGTTATAAAGTTGCTACTCAAAGGAATTTGCCCAGTATTAAAAAAGTTACAGTGTATACAGATAAAAAAAAAGCCCATTGGCGCTGAACTCAATATAATATAGAACGCGTACTTAGGTTGAAAAATGTAACTGCGAATTGGGGTACCACAATTTATTGTGTACTAATTTCATAAAAAATTTATCAAAGGTGGTTAGTAAACATATCAAGTTTATGGCTAATATTTTAGTGTCTTCATAATATCTGGCCCAAAACAATTCATAGAGAATTTGGCCCCTTAAATTACTGAATTTATTATTCATTTCTATTTTGAATGTTATGAATACAACATATATGCCCCCCACCCCAATCCCCACCCCAACCACAACCTCATCCATCATCTCTCACCCCTATCTCTTACCCCCTATCTCCTATATCCTATAACATAAAAGTAACATCCCCAATCACATTCTTATTTCCACCCCCACCCCCAGTCCACCCCCATCCCCATTCCCAACTTAATAAGAAGGACATATAATGATATAAGAGATAGAAGGATATATATATAAAGATAAACATTGGATGTCGATATCGGTGTCGGTGTCGATTTTTCGGTTGTGTTCCAAAATAAAAGCCATATCTCTTATCTCTTTCCATTAGAGATTTTCATAAGCAACCCAATATAGGCAATACGCGTTCCATAAATTATTGAGTCCAGAATATGAAAACTGAATTAAAACTAAAACTCCAATTACTGTTCAACGTATTACGGTTAAGCCTTGCTTTATTCGGCCTATAAAACTACAGAGTGAAAAAAATCAAGCATTCTTAGTTTAACTTTTGTAAGTTTACCGGTGTATTTATTTCAAAGAATCCTAATAAAAACAATGAAACGTCCAAAACAATTGTATTATGGAAATCAATTTATTCTATAAAATTTCTGGTTTCTAAAACCAGAAATTTGTATTACCTAGAAAGTAGGCAAATTTATTGTTTTTGTCAAAACAGCAAAAAAACTAAATTTACACTAAATTCGCTAAAACGAAAGCCATTGCAAAATAATAAGAACTATTCAAGTTTTAAATTCCTACAAAGCATCAAGTCTATTACGTGTCAAAGAAAAAATCATTATGTATTTCAAATATGTTAATATCTTTTTATTCTTGATTTGTTTTTTTCAAGTAGCAAACGCAGCAAGATTTACTGATGAGGTAATTAGATCGCAAAATAAAAAGAAGACTGACGTCATAAGTATAGTTTAACAACAGCTGTCAACTGAGGCCACCGTTTGTTCGACTGTTTATGAAAAATTTCAATACTTTACATAATTATCGTTACTGTTAGCATAAAAAAATAATCAAAATATCAATTGCTAAAGATTGCTCTGTATTTTCGGCAAAATATTTTTTATTTAAAAAGAAAATCAAGCGAATAAGTTAGCATTTAATTTTAAAAAGTCCACCTTTTTTGGACCCCCAGAAAAAGTACTAAGTGTATTCAGCCGATATTTGGCTACATTTGTTTACTTTGACTACTTTTTGCTCGTCGATGATGAAAACCAAATAATATATCGTTGTAAAACATACACCTTACATTAATATACGAGTACCCTAAAATTTGCTACTAAAACCTGTAATTCAAATATTAAAGTAGATTAAACAAACGATAAGACACACACTTTTTGTATTTTTGGTAATTGGGGACACTTGAGTTTGTGTAAAATAATGTCTTCAAAAAAAAAAAAAATAGTACAAAATTGCTATATTCTAAGGAAAAATAAGCATGTTATCATTAATGTATCACTCTGTATATATACATAATATATATCTAACAGGCTTCTGTGAAATTCCGTTGATCTGTGGACTTATTGGTTCGCCTTGGCCTAAAATGAGGCTGCTAATTTTTTTAACATGGATATGTCATTGGGTCTGGGGGTCAATTGGAAAATCTGTGTAAACGCTGAACGTTACAGAGTATATACACATAAGATTATATATATAGATATCGCGTTTTCGATTGTAATTTTGTGTTTATTGAGTTCGGCTAACGTGTGAGAACTACTGACGGTGGATTCTTATTCAAATAATTGGTGATCAATTGCATTTTTTAAATTTATTTAAATCATTTTTGGAAACTCTTATTGGAATTCATTATATGTGATTAAAAATTATAGTCTGGCCAATAATATGATATCGCTAATTTAATGTATCAGTTGAATGACTCTGAAAGAAGTATCACTTCATCCGAGTGTACTGGTTTTTTTGTTAAATTATTGTTTACTGAATTCTTGCCTAAGCGTTTACTCGAAAACACAATTATTTTACTTTAGAAAAACACCTGTGTGATTCGATGTGCGTTTAAATTTTGCACTGTTTGCATAAATGAAATACAGTGCTCGTTTGTGTTAAAAATATTATACAAAGCCAAAAAACTGTATCTATTTTTTAGATACCCATGTTAAACTTGCATTTTAATAACGGTGTACGACAAATACTCAGGGTCTTTAGAATTTCAAGGCCAACATGACTTATTGACGATTTTTTTAAAGTTATGATAAAACCACCTATGTGAATCATTTTTTATTGTTACCATACAATGATATTTCAAGGTCATTATGATTTTTCCGCCCTTCGGTAACAAGATTTAGGGAGGGGTGATTTTGGAAGCTCTTATAGCAATCTGTATATTAATTTAGTTTTCCTTGTTATACTTGACTGAACTTTGAAGTTTATAACGTCAAATCAAAAGATCCGTAGCCTTTTAAAATATTTTTAAAAAAATGAGATTTCTACAATAACTCAGAAGTCAGAATTTATGGTAGCCAAAAACTGTTGTAAAAATTATAAGTTTGATTCCAGTGAATAGGTTTTGACCCATCTTATGGGGGTTGAAGTGACCTGTTTGTTGGACATTTTAGGCCTAAAAGCCTGATATAATTACACCAACTCAGGATGGTTAGATTTAAATTCTAAAAAAATATTTGAATTAATCGACCACTTTTCTAGGTTAATGTAGAAATCGACTAATGATATTTCATTTAATATTGTGTTTAAATCCTATTTTATTTGCTCAAATTTGTCTTTGTGATGTAAATGAAACAGTTATTCAACAATCGACTTCCATAATATAACATGCATTCATGCATTCAATACCTTCAAGTTAGTCGTTGAGCAAATGATATTTCCTAATTTGTATAAAATGCCTAATTTAGCATGTATGTTATATCACAATATTTGTATAATCCACATTATTATCCAAACATTTATATTCATTTATAAATATTCCATAAGAGATGGAATGTATTCTGTAAGTATTAAAATATAATTTTTTTCTATACATTTATAAAACTAAATTCGGAATACTGACAATTGCTCTACAATTTCAATAACTCAAGTAAAAAATGCATGGACCCAAAATATAATAATAAACAAAACCGTTTTAACGTTGGAGACTTCAAATAATACAACTAGGTCGATGATAAAAGATGTTGTTTTTGTTTTCGAATATTTTCTTATTTAGGACATAGGTGACTGTAACTGTTTGAACAAGCATACAAAACAACAAATCAAAACAAGTAGTCTTCTTATTTTAAATAAATAATACATCTTAAAACGTGTTTTCAATACGTTTTCCCGTTTAACAAAGTGAATATACAATTATTTAGAAACGTAATGATAAAGGTTTTAAATTTTGAATGTAAAAATAATTATAGTTTTATTGTTTATTGTTGGCCAGATGTGGACAATTTTAGGTGTTCTAAGACCAATTGTAGGAATATGGATAAAAATAAAATACAATACAAAAAATGTATGTATTCATGATAATTTATAGGTTTTTTAATACTACATAAATGATAATATATTATAAATATATTTACAATATTCTCGTCTTTGTAAATTCTACCCAAAGGTATACAATACATTTGTGTCTACATCCTCATTCTCATTCTTATTATATATATAATAATAAGAACATAAATATGTTATAATAATTTGTAAATATGAAAATATGTTAGTGAGTTTTACACTAAATTCGCTAAAATGAAATCCATTGCAAAATAATAAGAACTATTCAAGTTTTAAATTCCTACAAAGCATCAAGTCTATTACGTGTCAAAGAAAAAATTATCATGTATTTCAAATATGTTAATATCTTTTTATTCTTGATTTGTTTTTTACAAGTAGCAAACGCAGCAAGATTTACTGATGAGGTAATTAAATAATATCATACCTAAATGTATGATTAATTAATATAATAATAATAACAACAAAATACTCTATAAACCTAGTGAATAATACACTAGAAAAAAGTATTATTTCTGTCATAATAGTGTTCAAAATGTATATTAACAACAAAAATTTAATGAATTTTAGCAACTGCGAGAAATTTATGATGGCGCCAAAGCGCTTAGCTTAAGACGGTCCCAATTGCTAAAATTGGATGTTTCTAAAAATTTTAAGGGAAGAGTTAACAGGTATGAAGTAAGATATTACTTATATGAAGACGAAAAATATGAAAAATATCAACTAACACTTGAAAGCATGCAAAAGATAACAGAAAAATTACCGCAGAGTACGTTAAATAATGATTCAGTAGTATATATTGTAAAATATGTGAAATGTTAATAATTAATAATCACTTTGATGTTGTACATAAATTAGTATCGATAGATAGTGTGTATTTGAGGGATACTTATAATATTATTCAGAAGTCGTCTGTAAAAATAGTTGGGAGAAACAAGTTAGGTATAACAATAAAAAACGAATGGTATCATCCTGTTCTACCAAATATGTTTTAAAACAATTTTATAGCAATTAGACTCATTTTAAATGATATTGGAATATTAATTTTACGACATTTTCCATGAAAATTTTTTTCATGAAATTGACACCGTTTTAGATTATTAAAAAACTGAAAGATTGACCAAAAAAATTATTGTTTGATGACATTTTATAACACCTTTTAATGCCAAATATTGTACATAAAAACGCAATACCAATAACTATTGCAACCAGTCAACTCGTTTTAACATAATAATATAGTTTAGTTTTTTTTTAATATGATTAATTTTGTTACCTATGATTTCTAGTTGATGCCGATATCACATTCGAGGAATATGAAAAAATTATGAATAGAGTAGAACGTGAGTAGTAGTATGTAGTAATATTTTCACCTTTTTACCAATAAATCTTGCGTTTCCCTATAGTATATTTTAGTTTTAGTTGTTTTATTTTAATTTGATAAATAGAAAAACTACCGCCGAGTACGTTAAATAATGATTTAGTAGTATATATTGTAAAATATGTGAAATGTTAATAACTAATTAGTATCGATAGGTAGTGTGTTAACTGAGGGGTACTTATAGTATTATGCCGAAATTGTCTGTAAAAACAGTTGGGATAAACAAGTTAGGTATAACAATGTAAAACCAATCGTATCTTCCTGTTACATAAAAACGAAAGAATAATAATAGTAATTGCAACCAGTCAACTCTAATTTACAACGAAAAGTTACAACGAAAAAATATAGTTTGGTAAATTTTAATATGAATAATTTTATTATGATTTCTAGTTGGTGAAGATATCTCATTCTACGACTCTAAAGCTATATTATGAATAAAGTGGATTTATAAATTAGCCGCCTCTAAGCAAGTAATATTTTTCACTCTATTACTATTACATTTTGAGTTTCTTTATAACATATTTTAGTTTAATTTGTTTTTTTTAATATCATAAATATAAATAAAAATGTCCACATATTTTAGGCTTGTTTGAGTTAATAATTAGTTAAACAAATAGTAAATATAATAATATAAAGCCAGTACAGCGGGATCGGACATAATGGAGACGGAGCATATTGTTAAGATAGGGGAGGTCACGGGTCTCAAGGAATTAATATAACCGTAAAAAATAAAATCACTTTATTCTACCTTCAGAAACAGAAATATATATACTGATTGCACCCTTCTGGTGGTAAGCGGCTTTTGATTATTTATTGGTTTGTCAATGATCATCGATAAATACATTATTTTGCACATTACTGTCTTCTAAGGCGTTTTTTATAGAGTAATTTTATCACTCTTAGTTGTAACAATTTTGCATCTAGCCAGTGACTTCCCTGAACGAACGATATTACAACGTTGTATACAGGGTGATTCTTTTATCATAAACCACTCAATATCTGATAGGCTTTAATCTATCTTTAGAAATTAAAATAATTTTTTTTATATTGTTGTTATACAATGTGATCTCAATTTTTCACAATATTGATCGTTTTTACGCCCCTTCCAACTTTAGTTTTTTTTTTAGCAACTCTTGAAACTTAAATAGTAATGTATATATTTTATTAACTTTTTATATTGAGAAAAATGTACTAAAAATTTTAACTGGTCGACAACCAGTTTCGGGCAACTATTTTTTAAGTTATAATAGTTTAAAAGTTAGATGAGAGGGGAAGTGCGGTTGGGAAATGCACGCAGATAAAAATAAAAATACACTCCACCTCTCCTTCTCCTTCTGCCTTAAACTTGAAACCTCAATGAAAACGTTACTATTTAAGTTTCAAATGTTGCTATCAAAAAACTAAGTTGGGAGGAGGGTAAAAACAAAACAAATTGTGAAAAATTGAGATCACATTGTATAACAGCAATATGAAACAAAAATAATTTAATTTCTATTTAAACCCTATGAGATATTGAGTGGTTCATGATAAAAGAACCACCCTGTATATAATTTATTATTTTGGCATTGTAAATTAATTTTTAAATCAATATTTCAGGGCTAAAAATTTACTACAACATCCAACCGTCGTTCACTATATTCCAAAAGAAAAACTTAAGTGTATAATTTGTCTCTTAAAAAAAATCACTTTACTATGCTGATATCTTATTTTTTAGTTGCTATGTATTTATTTTTAAATGGGTGTGTGGGTTATTTTTGTTTTAATCGATTACTGTATTATTTGTGTAATTTGTAAACGTTATATTCAAATCATTAAAACTTTATAAAAATGTGAAATAACTCGTTTTCTGATTATTAGATAAATTAACCTTAGCCGACTTGGCTTAGCTTATAATAATAATAGAAAAATATACACATAAGCTTCACGAGGACCTGAGAAAGGTATTAAAAGCCAAAAAGGTAAATTCCTGGGAAGCGTTCGACAATCGACAGTGATTTAATTATATTTTAATTTAATGAAATTGAATGAATAAGCTATTTTTTACTATACTGGTTTAAACTGTTTTTGACTAAATAGTAGTTTTGAAAACTACTCCAAATCACGGAATTGCTAAATTGTGTTTGTAATATTTGACATAAAATATATACAACTATAAGTAACCCAATATTTCAATTAGTAAAAACAGAATCTAAAAATAATGTTTAGCCTAGAAGCGGAAAACGGAAACGGTCTATGGTATTTTTTAGGTTTTCACCGAACCTAACCTAATCTAACCGTACAGTGAACAGTACTAACGATGAAAGTATGAAAAAGAATAATTTAAAAAAAGTATTTCATTTCTTATAATATTGATTGGATCATAATTAACCAGTCACCCTGTATATATAGGTACACTATTAAATCAGTATAATTGGACAACGGCTTATTTAATAATTAATAAATCACTTATACTGTTGCTATGAAGAAAATCAGTTTCAATAAATTGTTATAATGGTTAATGTAAATTTTATTTTTCGAGAAAACGTGGTTAATGCTTTAAATGGAAGTAGGACGAAATATGTTGAACATAATGGATGTTTTGCAAATGTTATAATATTTGAAGTATTTTTCTGTAAAACATTTTTTTACATTAGGTTTACTATCTACTATATTTTATTTTTACTGTTGGTGTTAACACCTTTTGTCGTCTAACCTTGGCTTATTCAAATATACGCAAAACACATGCGATATGCTACCGTAATTTGACTTTTGCATCTCGATGTAACCAAAAAAAAACAGCCGTAGAATATATAAAAAAATGCAATAATGTTTCGGACAAATTAGTTTTCAAGAATAATACACCATACCCTGATCTTTTATTTAGTAAATAAAAATAAAAATTAGAGCCAGTAAATGATGAAACTTTAATTTCAAATCGATCCGGCTTAATACCTAGTAGGTAATTGCCACTCAAAAGAATTGGTCTAGTATTAAAATGTTACAATGTAAGTTTACAAGGTAAATTTACAACAAATCAGGGGTTACATTTTAGGTCAATGCGATGTATAAATTATTTCAATTCATTGTTAGAAAAGTTTTTGTATACTTTCGCAAATCGGCGAACGTGATTTAAAAGTGACATCGAGTTCAAAAGTAAAAGAATATTTAAAAATATGATTTGAAGTGTTGTTTATCGAATTCTCGCCTAAGCGTTTACACGAAAACACAATTTTTTTGCACAATTTTCAAACCCGATTGCTATACAAATAATATTAAAAGAGAAAAAAAACGTTAGAAACATTACTGACGTACTAGATGGTATAATAACAAAAAAGAGGAAACGTTTTGAAAATTTTTCCCAAAAACGTATAGCCGTAATAATTACAATTGTATGACCAAAGTGTGAGTCTGAGTTTACTGTTTTTATTATATTTTTCGATAAATATTATTTTGACACCATACGACTGACAATATTCTTTATCATCAACACGATGACTATGATTGGACTCCTCTTACTTAAGATGGACAAGTGATTTAATATAATATATACCCAAAATTTGTATCATTCGTCGTCCTACTTTGATCTACAAAAAAAAACTTTAAATAGAATTACAGAATTAAAAAAACAAAAACGTAAACGTCCTATTCAAAAATACAGTACACTGCTGTTTTATGTTGTTTGTTAGACCTATCTTCAGACTAATTATCAGCTCTAAAATCTTAAAAATTCGCCAAAAATATGTCAACCATTCTCGCAGGGGGGGGGGTGGGGAGTTATCAAAATTTCGGTGTTTCCATGTGCGATTTTCTTGATAACACATTTTATGTTGAAAACGCTAAGGTTATAATAAATCGAAAATATTTTCGAAAAACATAAAATTTCGGCACTTGTGCACACATGAGAATGGTCTGAGTACATTTTTTTTTGCCATCGATAAATGTTCATAAATTTTAGGCAGAAAACAACGTCGATCTAACGACAAAAACAATTTATAAAATTGTCAATGTTTGAATTTCCAATTTTTTTTTCTTTTGCACTTCTTAGTGTTACTTTTTACACGTTGAAAATCCGAAGGTCATAGCAAATCGTCGAAACTTGAAAACTTTATCGAATCGGATACACTATTTACATACCATTCGCACACATATATATTGTATTATTGTACGACTTCTGTCTGTAATAGTCCGTAAAACAAATAGTAACCTAACCTTAAGTATGGCTATCGACGGATATTCACAAGGGAAAAAGCCATTAAAATTGGGGTCGGGACTTAAGTTGGACCGAACTGACTGAATGTGATAAAAATAACTTCAAAAAAATTTCGTTTAAACCTAAAACTTATGCTTGGGCACTCAAAACTTACCGGGACCACTCTAAATAGTATCCGTTAAAATATTGGCATGATTTGGTAATTTTTTTTAAAAGATTTAACATCTGCGAAAAACAGTTTTCTGGCAATTCAAAAAAAAAATGTACTCCCGGATTTTTTTTATTCGTCTAATATGTTATGGATACATAATATACTATGAGTTCTGACTCCTGAAAAAAAGTTTTCAACTAATAGGTCTTATAATTACGGCTAAAAACACAAAAAACTTTGCACCCCTAAAAAAGTAGCAGTCTATACAGACAATAAAAAACCGACACCATAATGCAAATATATTTCAGATACCAGCTGTTGCCTGTTGAGAAAGGGTGAATCTCTTTCTCATTGCAACCTACAAATCTACTACCGTAACATGGTAATTCCCCCTTTAGTTTGGTTTTTCCCTAATAAAACAAAGCTTCACTACTGATTTTTTCGTAAGTTTTATGTGCCCCATTCTAAAAAAATCTTTTGGTATACAAAGTAAACGCAACTTTTTTTTTAATAAGTAAAAACTTTACTATAGCTTTAATTAATTTCGAAATTCTTTTCATATTCTTCTAAACGCCAGTAGTTAGAACCGCGTGTCTTAAAAAGGTAATGAGTTATACTAATTAAAAAAAAAACAGTACATATTGGAAAAACAATTTATAAGTACTATCACTGTGTCTTGAATCAGGATGTGTGCTGAAGTTTTTTGCGGTTTGACAACCAAACGAAGCAATTACTGTTAATTTTAAAATGTCGATAGTGTTTTAAAAAGTATTTAAATAGCCAAAATTGTAATAAAAATAATTATGATTAGAGAAAAGATAAGCGGAAGAAGTTAAGACAAATTTTGGCAATGATTTCTTCATGACCTTTTCATCACAACCGCGGTTCTAAAAGATCATCAATGCTTATGGGCTTTTCAGAAACGAATGAAATATATTCGGTAATACGAGAAAAACCACCAACATAACATATGTTATGAAAAAAAATATATAAACTTCTAAAAACATGACCCACAACATAGGCGAAACAGCGCAGGATAAATGTTTCGGACATACCTACCTTGAAATATTGGTATAACAGTTTTAAACAGTTACTTTTATTATTGAAATTGTTTTTTTTCCCATACTTGTAGGTACATATTTTTTCTACATTTTTCAATATTTAGAATAATTTTATCTTCAACCCTTATACGTAAAACAAGTACCGCATTTGGTTTTTTTAATGGGAACGTATGTTTTTAATTATTTCATAAATCTGTAGACAACATTTTTAAAAAAAGTTTTAGCGTTTGAATTTCTAATTTTCATCAATCTATTTATATTTTTTGTATATAGAAAAATGTCAACGAGTAAAACGAATATTTTCTAACGTGTACAGAGCTCTTTAAGCAGAGGCCCAAATTAGGGTTTCCAAATTATAATGCTTTAGGTTTCATTTTTGTACTCTGAATTTTCGTTTCATGAAACGCGCTGTATTAAACGGCAAAATGTGTAAACACCACACGGTTAGTAATATTGTTGCTGTGTCTTATTTACCAGAAATTCGCATCGATATGCAATAACATATGAGTAACGATAATACATATAACAATACTAAATAACGGTCCGTGTGCCCCAATTTATCATACTTTTAAATGCAATGCTATATAAAAGACCTTAAAGTATGTATTGTGTGTAAAACACACATTTATTTTTTATTGTTCAAACACTAAAGTCACATATTTTAAGTTTCAAAATCGAGAAAAACACCCAACATCTTTACAAATTTTTCGACTTAAAATTATGGCCCGCTCCAAACTATTATAGACAGACGACTAACCCTAATGGAGTCCACCCTAATACTAAAAATACATTTCTAAGAATATTATTTACATTAAGTACAATGTTTTTATCGATTTGTGTATTCTATCATTACACCTAGATTCGCATCAAAGCGTTTATTTAAAAGAGATTGTATTTTTTGTTAATATTACTTCTTTTTTTATTTAACTATTTGGTTGTATTTTTTTAAAAAGTACAACAATTATGTTTAATAATATTTAAAATGAATTTTTTTAAATAATAATATTTTAATTAGAATACATTTCTTTTATAACTTTTAAATAATAAATTATCAAAACTAAAGTGTTTTGGAATTGTTGTGAGAACACCAAATTTTCACAGTAAATAGATAAGAAATTGTGCTTAAGCGTTTTCAAATTTTCGATGACTCAATCCATTGAATTGTTGAAAATTACTAAAAAAAAAAAAAATATCACCTTAAAAATGAAACCGTGCTGCGGCCGTATTGATCGTTGTGTGTTCAAAATAAATTGTCGGTTATGAAAACACTTCTCCTAAATACAGCTGTAGCAAAGCTCTAAGATATTATGACTAAGTCCGCGGTTCGATCGTTGTTCGATTACCGATTTTTTCCACGGAAATAAGCTACAAGCTTGAGAACATGAAATTGTAATTAGTACATAACATCACCTGAACCGAAATTCAATTACCCGCCTACCTTTTCGGTAATCCCAAAAGCTCTCTTTCGCTTTCAAAACTATACACAACCGTCGCGGGTCTTTGTTTTAAAACACTATTATTTTTCTTTTAAGAAATTAGGAGTACAAAAAATAATCAATTAAAAATAATTATTAAAACGTACAAAATTAATTATGTTTACAGTAGAAACTATAAGGGCGGGAAATGTCCAATATCATTATAAAAAATATTAAAGTTTATAATGTTGTTAAGAACTTTTTGGAACAAAAACTGTTAATATAAGAAAAATAAAATAAAATATCAACAAAATATCACAATTTTTTCCCCTTCTCATATTGACCACACTTTATTCTATTTTCGGCACAACTTCCGTCTAGTTGAGCTTTGTTTGAACCAAAAATGATTCATGAACACTATAGCTAGGTGTGGACATAAAATTGTGTTTAAGTATTAATTAAACATAATAAGTAGTAGGTCAATTTATTGTTTTTGTTAAAACTGCAAAAAAACTGTTTTTTTACGATTGACAGCCACGACTATTATACTCATACGTCAATGTATATTGAACAAATAACATATACACATATATATATATATATATATATATATATATATATATATATATATATATATATATATATATATATATATATGTTCGTGAGTTTTACACTAAACTCGCTATAACCAAAGCCATTGCAAAATAATAAGAACCATTCAAGTTTTAAATTCCTACAAAATATCAAGTCTCTTACGTGAAAAAAAAATCGTCATGTATTTCAAATACGCTAATATCTTTTTATTCTTGTTTTGTTTTTATCAAGTAGCAAACGCAGCAAGATTTACTGATGAGGTAATTAAATAATATCATACCTAAATGTATGATTAATTAAAATAATAATAATAATAATAACTAAATACTTTAAAACCCTAGTGAATATTATAGTAAAAATAAATATTATTTCTGTAATAATAGTGTTCAAATTTAAAATAAACAATAAAATTGTAATGATTTTAGCAACTGCGAGAAATATATTATGGCACCAAAGCGTTTAGTTTAAGACAGTTCAAAGCGCTCAATTTGTTTGTTGGTGAATATTATAAGAATGGAATAGTTCACAGGTTTGAAGTAAGAAATTACTTATCTAAGGACAAAAAGTATGAAAAGTATCAACTAACACCTGAAAGCATGCTGAAGATAACAGAAGAATTTCCGCCGAGTACGTTAAATATGATTCAGTAATAGATATTTTAAAATATATAATATGTGAAATGTTAATAACTAATAATCACTGTGATGTACATAAATTAGTATTGATAGGTAGTTTGTTATCTGAGGGGTACTTATAATATTATGCAGAAGTCATCTGTAAACATAGTTGTGAGAAACAAGTTAGGTATAGCAATGTAAAACTAATGGTATCTTCCTGTTCTACCAAATATGCTATAAAACAATTTCATAAAAATTAGACTCATTATAATTAATATTGTGATATACATCTTATGACATTCCCCGTGAAATTTTGTATAGACAGGATTTTTGATTATTTAATAACTGAAGAAGTTAACAAACAAAATTATTGTTCCTTGATGACTTTTGATTATATCCGTTATGGCCAAATATTTACATATAAACGAAATAACAATAATATTAGTAATTTCAACCAATCAAATCGTTACAACATAATAATATAGTTTGGTAAATTGTAATATGAATAATTTTATTATGATTTCTAGATTATTATGATATCTCATTCGAGGAATTTAAAGAATTTATGAATAGAGTTGATAATTGGTCGCCTCTAAGTAAGTAATATTTTTCACACTTAAATTAATAAAATTTTGCGTTTTTTTATAACATATTTTAGTTTTAATACGAAAAAATTAAAAGCAAAAGATCCTATAGAAAAAGATCCTACCCCTTACACTGGCATTGCCGAAACATGACCTGACGCACTACCCTGCTCAGATATTTTAATATACATTGTACTCGGTAAACAGCAAGTTAATTTGAAAAACATTTTTCCGGTATACTTAAACATTTTCCTGCCCTCATATTTGACGTGACCAAAAAACAATTCTAACAAAAAAGTAACGTTTTTTTTTCTTTTAGTTGCATTATAATATATTATGGCTATTATGGTTATTACTATTGTTTTATATAAAAAAAAAATTACTGTAATTGTTACAAATTCAGATCGAACCTTTTTAATTTATTCGTATTATTGCACGACTTATGTAAGTCAAAAGTTGTCTGATGTAATAGTTCACATAGATTATAATGGATATAATAATGACTGAAATCGATAAAACGAATACGAATAGAAAATAACAGCTTTTCTTTGAACATGGATAATATCATTAACAAATTTTTATGGCTCTTGCTAATTTCTGATTTTATATTCAATTGTATTTATGGCATAGCTAGCCATAAATACAATTGGAACCTGTGACCGCCTTGAAAATACTTTGCACTCTGTTACCCGCCCGCTGCTAGTTATTTTTATATAGTTTTCCAACTTGCAACTAAAATTCAGTATGAATATTTAAAAACAATTTCATTTGTGTACCAATTACCAATGTATGAAAACCAGGAAAAATACTCATGGTATACTCAGGTGTTTCGCATGATGTTGAAAGTTACCTTACTAAAAACACCTAGCAGTATTATTTTCTTTAACCGAGTATAATGCATTTAATTTCTAATTTTTTTTATTTTGTTCAATGGTTATAAGGCATATCATATACCTACAAATAATTTTCATATTTTTCATATTTTATATTATTTTAAAAGTCGAGCAGGAGAGGTATAGGAATATACAATGTCATTATTATCATTATTCCAGATTACTTCAGGAATATTATAATCACCGCAAATTATAATAATGTCATTAGGATATTTTGTAATGAGGTATTCAATCGAAGAAATGTGTGATTCATAAATTAATGGAGAAGAGTGAGGGGGGATATATACACCACCAACAATGAAACAGAGTGAATCAATAGTAAAACGAACAAAAATATGTTCAACATTTAGTTGAGTGACAAAAATGGGGGACGAAGGAAAGTCTTTACGAATGCTAATTAGGACTGCTCCTCCACGACTACAATTACTATTAGAGATACATCTGTCATAACTAAAAATATTATAATTAACAAGACCAAGCTCGTGATCACAAATGTTATCTTGTAACCAGGTTTCAGATAAAACAATAAAAATATAATTGACAGATGTTGTGTTACATTTAAAATTAGTTAATTTAGTATTAAGGCCACGACATTTTTGGTAAAAACTGGTTAGCGGAGCGAAATTAGTAGAATCAGCTAAGGATGTTTGCTTGAATGGTGACGACGAACTCCTCCGTTTTTTGGATTGGCGACTCCTACTATAGGTAATCCATTTTCAAAAACAATTCGTAGGTCGGTTTCACCGCCTTTGGTTCTCTGCTCGAGTTCGGCATGACATGAACGAAGTAGTTTTCGTTGTAAAAGTGTTTTGTCACTAGTCATACGGAAATTTTCCATGAATACAGTACCAGAGCGTTTAGCTGCATTGAAAGTGGATAATAGGTGAGCTGCCACCTCTTTGGAATCGAATATAACTTTTAGTGGACGGGAAGAAGAAGTACTTGACTTTCCAATTCGGACTAGTTTGAAGTTTGAAGGGACAGCATTACCAAGGGATGAGAGAATATTGCATAATGTTTTTTTTGTCATGCTCTATACGCAAGGAAATATCCAAAGAAGAAGACTCAGGGACCCTATAGGTAATCAAATTCGTCTGACATCTTTCACGCTCGAATGTTTCTTGAAAAACTAGGTTAGTAATGGATTGCGATTGTTCGACCGAATTGAAACCTTCAAAAGATGCGACTTTTCCTTTGAGAACGTCAATTTCCGCACGAAGGGTAGAGTTCTCAGCTTTCAATTCAGACATTTGAAGTGACACATGAGAGAGGTCGGCTTTTAGGTCGTTATATTGGGATGCCTGGAGGTCAGATAGAGACTTATGGGAGGATAAAATTTCTCCTTTGAAAGTCTTTAGAGCGGCCATCAGATCTTCATTTGAAATAGAAACAGCTTTTTTGCTGTGGCCGGATGCGAAATTTATAGGTTTTATTGGAGTATCCTGTTTTTGCATGATAGATGGGGGGTATAAAAAAGTATGACTCAGACCACTGCACTAGGTACACTCTGTATATACGAGTATAACGCTTAATATAATATTATGCGAAGCTTTTTTATTTGAATGGCAAAACAATGAAAGACGCAGCTCGTAGGCAATAAGACGGGCAGATGGACAGGTATTGTAAAATCCGGTGCGATAAGAAGCAGAAAGATAAATATAGCAGCTTACGTTTGCGGTGGCCGTGCAAAGCTTATGAGGCAATTAAAAATTGCTAAAAACTTGCTTAAAAAGAAAAGGGTTAGACAGACTGACTCAAAAGCGACACCAATCTGTTCGCGCACTTTTTAGTAGATTATTACAATAAAATGAAAAAAAAACAACAGCAATTACACGGGAAAAAAGAAGAAAACACGGGAGCATATTGTTACCTCGACAATATTTCTACACTATATGACATAATTTTGCTGAAAGTTATATTATTCCATTTTTTTTCTCTTAATACCTTGTCGACTCGTCGTATTATAGTGCTCAGATATATAATAATTTAATACTAATAAATATTCAAATAATATAATTATGATTTGTATATGCTTCAAAATATTGAGATAATAGAATTAACAAATAACTACTTAAATATAATTGTAGTTAGGTAATTGATATTAGCCAATTAAACGACAGATACACAATGTATGCATATCTGTTAACTTTTTAAATAACTGTTTTTAAATTATTTTCAACTTCTAACAATATTTCGGTCAAACTTATTTTTTGTTTTTGTGTTTTTGCGAGGGCTTGTTATAATAGCTTAGAAAATCGAAGATCATCCTAGAAATATGCCCAACGTTGAAAGTACATTTGAATTAGATTTACTTAAGAATTTGTATCCACAAATGTCATAATACTATGTTGTTTTCAACTGCTTTAAAATTTGAATATTTGGAAAAACAAAATATAAGACATTTTTAATGATTCCCGTGCACGCAATATACAAAAATCTTTTTTTTATATAAAAGTATTTTTCAACGATAAAGGCATTAACAACTTCTAGGAAAAAGTCAGCTAGGAGTCGTTCGGTTTGACTTTTTCTATTTGCAATATTATTGAGTGTTATTATGTTTTTATACATATTGTTTATTCATATGTTTTTTCATACCTATACGAATTTAAGGTAAATACACAAAAAAAAATATTACTAACCGAGTGTTGTTTAGACACAACTATTTTTTAAAATATACTAGCGCACTTCATAAAACGACAATTCATAGTATAAAATAAAACCTAAAACATTATCAATTAAAAACCCAAATTTGGGCCTCCGGATAAAGAAATCTTTAGACGTTAGATGAATACGAATAGGGTTGATGGTCTGTCTATATAAATGTATTGCTACAGTAACCCATAAATCGTTGTTAACAATATAATGAAAATATTTTCAATGCCTGTTTACTGTTGACTCGCTCACACAAAGCAACCTAGAAATTGACTTTAGCCAAAGTGCAATTTGTCTCTCTCTTTGACAGGTTTTTAAAAAAAAAATAAAGTTTGACTACAGTTTGTTGAGAAAATTGAATATGCTAGAGCCTAATATTAGATCTATCTTCGGTAAAATTTTTAAAACTTCAATCCCTAAAACATTGCTTGGAAATATAGAAAATAATGTCATCCCTTCTAGGGGAAAGGGCTTAAGATATTTTTTTTGTTTGTCAATGTTTATCGGCAGTACCTACTGTGATATGTGGTAACTCTGTTCAAGATTAGCCTATCAATAAAAGCTGTACTTGATAACAGAGTTGTTATATGTAATTCATGTGCAATGCTATGTTTTGAAATAAAAGTATTTCTTTTTAAAAATAATTAAATGGTACTTTATCTTTTACAATAATTGTGATACAAAATAAAACTCCTACTATGTTTAAAAATATGTAAAAATTACAAAATGAATAGCAACTCTCGACAAATTGTGTTTTCTTGTATCGATATAAACCTTTTCATATTATATTAAGTCAAAACTTAGTCATGAGAATCGAATTATTTTGTTCTCTGCGCTATATGATATTGTTGAAACTTAGCATTTGCTTTATTTTTTGTTATAACCTATATTTACTTTACAGCCATTATAAAAGTAAAGTATGATCTTTATATTTATACGATTTTCCATCACATCAGGTCCATATCCTATCCCATCCTTAACGGTCTAGTCTCACACAAGGACCTATATGTATACAAATAAGCCGTACATCACAAAATAAATTAATACTTAAGTATTTAAATAAATGTTATTAGTACGAAGTGGTCACAAATAACTCTTTTAAATGATTCAAAAAATCATTATAACATTATATAATAAAAAAACTATTCGTCAATAAGGAAAAGTTATTAAGGTAGTGCTAAAAAGCAAAATACGACAAACTACTAATTTTTATTTCTTAAAAATGTGTAGGTACATAATTTAAAAAAAAAAACAGTATAGTAGGGTCGGGGCATAGTGGGGACGGTGTACTTACAGGTTTACAGGAATTTCGAAATCGGAAAGTGATAAAATCACTTTCGAAAAAACACTTCGATGCAAATCAGTAGTTAGTATTTTCAAGCTAGTACAGTCCAAACCAATCACAGTGTAAGCCAGCAAAGTTAGAAAATATTAAATTGAGGTGTTTTATTTACAAATAAGCATCAAAGCGTTTAATTGAAGGTGATTTTATTCTATTTTATCACTTTTATTTATAATGATTACTTTTGACCTGTGACCTCTCCGTCCCCTCGTTGCTTTGATTCCATTATGCCTATAATCTACTGTACTAGTCCTCTCGGATAAAATCACTGACTGTGAAGCAGTAAACTTTTTCAACTTCTAACCCCCCTCCCCCCCCAAAGTACCAACTAGATGAAATTTGAGATTTATAGAGCTGCTACTGAAATATTAGCCAGAAACTTGATATGTTTACTAGCCACCTTAGATACATAAAAATATATCCCGTGGTGTTGCAGACACGTACGCAAGCTTTTAAAATATAATATGTAATACCTTTGTGAAAACCTTTAATAGAGCCTTGCAAACATTCTCCATATCCTTATACTACACCTCACCCCGTAGGGTTCTGATAACCAGTAGACTGTAACGTTTCGCTTATTTATGCGTCAACGTTTACCATCCCTAACTATTAGGGGTAAGAATAAAAGGAATATTGGTTTAAATATAAAGAAGTAACAAATGTTCGTTTTTCATTCCAATAAATAATTCTTTTAGAATAAATGTATAATATCAATTAATATAGTAATGGTGAACGGCTAGACTGATCGACTGCTTGGCGAGTGCAGTGACCATCGTAAGACTCGGCAAGGAGTGTAAGGGAAGGGCTTAAAGCCGGGGAGGGGGTGCTCAGGTTCGCTATGATAGTATAAATACTATTGGCCTAACTGAAGGTGATCAACGGCATGACTCATGGGTATTTATGCCCATTTACTAGGCCCAAACTATATAGTAACACAGATGTGATCCATTCGGGAGGCCGCGCCATCTGTGGAGCGCCTGTCTAACTTCTACTTGCTCAGAGAGGCGGGCTAACGCCCTATGGAACCGCCAGTACGCGGTACTGACGTGTTACATGACTCTTTTTGGGCTAGCGGTCAATCTGAAATACGTGTGTTAAGATCCGTGTATAAACATAAAGATCTTATGTACATAAAAATGTAACTGAAATTAAGATCATTATATAGAAAAGAGTTATGTTACAAAGCGTAACGCTTTTGTAACGCTGTTGGTGGGTGGTGTGGGAATGAGGTTAGGATTGGGGTTTGGAATGGGGTTGGGTTAGGGATATCAATTGAGATAGGGGTAGGGTATAGGGGTAGGGTATAGGGGTTGTAGGAGATAACAGTAATATATTATAAATGGAAAGGGGGTGGGGTTGGGGGCAAAGTTTTTTGGTTATGTGCCAGAGATATGTCATGAAAATGTCAATAACATTATCATGGGCAAAACTAAACTGTTCACAAAAGGGCAGCCTCTAACTAGTTGACATTTTGATAAGCAACCCAATATAGGCAATACGCGTTCCATATATTATTGAGTTCAGAATATGAATATTGAATTAATACTATAAAGTAAAACTACTGTTCAAAGGTATTACTTTTAAGCATTGCATCATGTATTTCAAATATGTTAATATCATTTTATTCTTGTTTTGTTTTTATCAAGTAGCAAACGAAGCAGAGCCAAGATTTACTGATGAGGTAATTAAATTATCTCATACCTAAATGTATGATTAATTAAAATAATAATAATAATCAAATACTCTATAAACTTATTGAATAATTTACTAGAAAAAATATTATTTCTGTAATAATAATGTTCAAATTTATACGAACAAAAAAATGTAATGATTTTAGCAACTGCAAGAAATTTATGATGGCACAAAAGAGTATAATTTAAGAAAGTACCCAAGGCATTCAAGTAATTGGAGAGTTAACATGAGGCAAGTACAAGAATACTTATCTGAAGACAAAAAATATGAAAAATATCAACTAACACATGCAAATATGCTGAAGATAACGGAAGAATTGGGGTGGAGTACGTTAAATAATGATTCAGTAATAGATATTGTAAAATATATAATATGTAAAATGCTTATAACTATTAATCACTTTAATGTTGTACATAAATTAGTATCGATAGATAGTGTGTATGGCCAAATATTTACATATAAACGAAATAATAATAATATTAGTAATTGCAACCAGTCAAGTCGCTACAAAAAAAACATATAGCCTGGTAAATTTGATTATGAATAATTTTATTATGATTTCTAGTTTATGCAGATGTCTCATTCGATTACTTTAAAGTTATTATGAATAGAGTTATAGAGGATTTATTAATTGGCCGTCTCTAAGCAAGTAATATTTTTCACCCTTTTACCAATAAAAATAACCTTTTGCGTTTCTTCATAACATATTTTAGTTTTAATTGTTTTTTTTTATACGATAAATAGAAATAAATATTGTCACATATTTTAGGGTTGTTTGATTTAACTATTAGTTAAACAAATAAATATAAAAATAAAAATCCAGTACAGCGGGATCGGACATAATAAAGACGGAGCATATTGTTAAGACAGGGGAAATCACGGGTCTTAAGAAATGAATATAACAGTGAATAATCAATTTATTTTTACCTCCAGAAACAGAAATAAAGATACTGTTTTCACCCTTTCTGGTGATAAACGGCTTTTGATTATTTTTTGGTTTGTCAATGTTCACCAATAATACAATTTTTTGCACATTACTGTCTTCTGAGGCGTTTTTTTAGAAAGTAATTTCATCACTCTTAGTTGTAACAATTATTCATCTAGATCAGTGACTTCCCCGAACGAAGGATATTACAACGTTGTAGATATAATTTTATATACTGTATTATCATCGTTATTGTAAATTAATTATTATGTCAATATTTCAGGGTTACAAATTTACTACAACATCCAACCGTCGTTCAGTGTATTCCAAAAGAAAAACTAAAGTGTTTAATTTCTCTCTTAATAAAAATCATTTTACTATGTTGATATCCTATGTTTTAGTTTCTATGTATTTATTTTAAAAATTTTAATGGGTGTGTGGGTTATTTTTGTTGTTTTAATCGATTACTGTATTATTTGTGTAATTTGTAAATGTTTTATTCAAATTATTAAAACATTTAAAAAATGTTAAATAACTCGTTTTCTGATGATTAAAAATATAAATTAACCGACGCGGCTATATAAGCTTTCACGTAGAGCTGAGAAAGGTATCAGGAACAGATAGAAAGCGACCCTGAGCTCTTAGATAAAATGTTATTTATATTAACCTTGTATGATTACATGCATGCGGATCTACAATTTTTTTTAAAAAACAACTTGATTATTTTTAATCTTTTCTTTTAAATTCAAACACTTATTTATATTATAATGATATATAAATATATGATCTGAACTAAATTAAAATGTTATACGACGCTGCTGAAATCGATTTCATGATAACTTTTATTTGAAAACAGTTTCAACTTTTAAGACGGTGATACTCTTCATTCACTTGTATAATAAATTAAAAGACAAGAATGGTAGTTTTCCGGCATAAAAACTGTAGTGTCGGGTAAGATCCAATTTATATTAAACTAAACTAAATATTACCTCTAAATACAACCAAGAAAATGCTAAAAATTGTCAAATGTAAAGTAAGTTATTAGAAATCTATTTTTGTTATACCAACAAATTATTCCATTAATCAACTGTACAAACTGTTCAACAACAAACTGATATACCTAATAAAATATGAAATGGTAACGTATATATTTTTTAAACTTTTTAAATTAAGAATATTTCACTAAAAATGTTGACTGGTTGATAACCAGTTTTGGATAATTTTTTTTAAAGTTATAAGAGTTTAAATGTTAGGACGGGAGAAGTGAGGTTGGGAAATGCGCGCTGATAAAAATAATACTACACTGCACCTTTCCTCCTGCCCTAAACTTGAAACTTCAATAACTTCAAAAATAATTATCCAAAACTGGTTATCGACCAGTCAACATTTTTAGTAGAATATTCTTAATTTAAAAAGTTTAAAAAATATATACGTTACCATTTACGTTTCAAAAATTGCTATAAAAAAATCTAGTTTGTGAGGGAGGTAGAAACGTAATAGTTTGTGGAAAATTGAGATCACATCATATAAAAACACTATGAAAATAAATAATTGTATAAACTTAGTGAAATATTGACTGGCTCGTGATAAAAAAAATCATCCTGTAAGGCAAAATCGTCCACATCGCAGTCTACTGATAATACATGTGAACGGATGACGGTTATGTAAGGTAAATTTGTTTCCAAACAGGTAGATTAAGAATCGATTGTCCATATAATAATGTGGCGGCCCCACATACAGCACTGTAGCGGATGTATGGCCACGAGCCGACACAGCTAGCGCAACCTAGCTGTCGGCATCGATACCGCCTCAACACATGGTCAGATCGCCAGATCTCGGTGGTTGTGACGAACCGTAGCGAACTTCTCGCATGTGATCAAAGTCACCCAGAGCGCACATATAAATACGCACACGACAACTACCGACCAACGTCTTCGGACACCGGCCGGGCGACCTTTTGCCTGCATCCGCCACAATAATAAAAAATTAGAGCTCGAGTTATTTATGTCTCATTATCGGCGACAGTATTATCGATGGGGTCCAATATTATCATTATTTACTGGCAAATAAAAGTGCTACTGCTGAAAAACGAACAAATATTGATTTTAATTTCAAATCTTTACCAAGTCACAGAAAACGAACAGATGGTTGAAAATTGAAAATTCAAACGCTAACATTTTTTTAAAAAAATTGTCTGCATACTTATGGAATTAAAAACATATGTTGTAACAACCCTGTAGCCCTGTACGTATGTATTGCAGGCTGTTTGAGTCTTGTCACAATCGTGGTGATAGATATTTAATAGAATAACTTCAGAGTAAATCACAAACATTTAATTTAATATACTTATAAAACATGTACAACGACAACCAGTTAATAGCATAAGTTCAGTATGCTTCAAAAATATGATGATTAAGACAATTATAAGCCGCTTAAGACTTCAAAAGAAGATGATAGGTAGAAACTTCATGTGTAGTGTATGGTGGTCCCAGCACATCTGCCCTGCTATGCCTGAAGTTCTCCCTTATATGCTGGTCCGCTCGTTGAATGGCCGTGGAATCCTCGCAATTATCGAAAGTCCGCGCGTGGATGACCTCGCTCGTCCATGACATCTGCTTATGTCAACGGTGGAGGAAGGGTAGAGGCATGAGAGTGCAGCCTTCGCATGGTCGAAATTGGCTAGCTTCGATGTGAGATTCGCACGGTAGTTGCCAAAAACGTTAAGTTCCTTTTAGTGGTTGGCCTCGTTGTTGAGGTCCACTGTGAACAGAATTACAAGTTGTCTGCTTTCGCAAGATGCTGTAATGACCTTTTGGGTCTGATGTGAAATCGGCACGTGTGGTACGTTCATATTCAGCAATATTTAACAATGAGAAGTTATATAATATAATATACAGATATATGTATATGTTAGTCCTGATAAATATATATATATATGTATCTATTAGCCCTGAAAAGGGTGGGTCCTTAACAATGTTTCCATTTGAAAAAACGAGTTTCGTAGTTCTATAGCGTATAAGGGTTGAAGATAAAAAAATTCTAATTATTGAAAAATGTAGTAAAATATGTACCTAGAAGTTAAGAAAAAAAAAATTCACAAAATATTCATATTTTCCGAGAAAATGAGTGTCTTACGTTAGTTGGATCACCCTGTATATATAAATATTTATATATAAAAATGTGATAGTGCGGGGTACCTGCGGCGCACGGTCGATATAACTACTAATAACATTGTAATTATCAATAAATATAATAACATATTATCAACGTCGGAGGCCGTGTAAGCCATGTTATGACTATTGCGAGAGATAATTTTCGTGCCCACAATTCGGGCAAAAGCCTATTAATACTTTTGGCGGTCGTTATATGTGGTGTGTGCTTTATTGTTGAATAGCGCACAGAAAAACAGGTTTTCGTAGTATATATAAATATAATATCAGATTATCGCGGCGGTATAAACTGTAATGTGCGTTGATATCGTAGCACACATGCACATTATTCGACGGTTCAGATTCAGACCCAAGTTTACGACACATTTTCATAAGTCTATTGTTTTAAAAGGTACTTCATATTTATACGTATTTTCCTCAAATAAATAGATTATGAATATCATTTTGGGTTATGGTTTTCTAATTTTTTATCGCACTCCCGTGTCAAATCACCACGAGCCGCCAATGTGAACAATATAAATCATAATATATTCAAAATACATTATTGAAGAAAAAGACAAATTTGAAATGTTAGGTACAAATATTTTTGAATGAGTAATTATAATATAAAATAAAAATTTGCAACACAACTTAAAATACCTATGCAACGCTTATAAATAAAGTTAATACTTAGGTAGGTACTAATGAATGATCAATACATTATAATTAATTGGTTACAAAATAGGTTGCTACTTGCTATATTTTTTTGGTAATGGTAATCATACCGCAAAAGTAAAATAAATTAAATGATTTACTATTGTGTATGGGTTCTCTTTAGATGTCTTTCAAATAATAAAACATAAATATATCAATACAGAATTAGTACGATGCACAGATCATTGTCATAAGTTGACTGTGAATACTAAATATTTTTTTTGAAATTCCATATTGTGCGGTTTAATTTGAACTGTACTCGGTAAGCAAATAAAATATTTCACCATTTCGAGTAGGTATCTAAAATAAAACAAAACAAACGAAGTGATTGAGTACCCATTTTATGGTTTAACAACCAAATGTGTTAAATCTTTCCTAAGATCGGTCAACGACTAATAGAGTAAATTAAGAATAATCACGGTGTTCAAAATTGAAACAGTTTTCAAATAAAATTAAGAAATCGATTTCAGTAGTGTCGAATAACATTTTGATTACAGTTTAATCTAAAATTTAATTCAATCGACTTGCCAATAAAAAC